AGGATTTTTTGGGAGATCTTGAAGATCTATTTTATTTGACAAGCTTCACAGCTTCCTTATGATTGTTGTGTACCCTTATAATATCATTTGATATGTATGCTTTCATATCTGATTATATATGTTTCTCTTAGATGATTGCATATATGTTTTGGATACTTCATATATTGTGATGCACTTTTAAAAGCTTTATAGACCCACATGATTTTATAGTATAGCATGAGTTAGTGCATCGCCTTGGGCAATTATATATTTTCTTGTTGGGGACATCAGTTTTATATGTTATTGTTGTTATCACAATCTGGCATGCTGCATATCATAAGTATTCCCCCTAACACCTAGTACGTGGTATAAAACCAAACATTTCTCATCTGCGTTTTATTCACAATGTGCAGTCTTTTTCCTATATCACCATCATAGCGTACATTGTGGGCATGTATATGTTGATTATAAACCTCCGTCTGTTATTTAAATCTTTAGAGCCCATGATAAGGGATCAATATATAATTATGTACGCTGACTGCACACTTTATGAAGATCATTTCATGGCATTAGGGGGAGATAAGATCTCAAATTTTATAGAATGCCAAGAAATTCTATGAATGATTGATCTTCAATATTTAAATCCATGTACTAGGTAGACTGAACTAGAAGTTCAGAAGAAGTAAACTGAACTAGAAGTCCAGTAGATAATTAATCTGCCAATATATATACTCATAAAAAGAGTGACTAGGTCCTATATATTTTCCCCAACTTGGACCATATATATCTACCAATGCTCCTTGACGCCAGAAGCGTGGAGACATGTTGGTATAATCCGCGGAAAGCTAAATCTAGTAAAAAATGGTGTCACTCTTGAAATCGCTTAAAGAAGTATGTCGTGAAGACATTCGTCCTGAAGGCGAAAACCCCAGTAAAATTTTAGGTGCACCCAAAATTATAATACTGGGGATGCGGAACGACCAGATAAAAATATCTTTGGGAAATGTCTAGAGTCTGGTTAAATTAGAAATTGCCATTATTTTATATATATGGGAGAGATTTATGAAAAATGTTATAGTTGTCGACAACAAAATTGCCTTTACAAATTATTCTCGTTATATGAGAATCTGGATCCAGAGCTAGGCACCAGTTGTGCCTTGGTATTTTTTATGTATAACGGAGCAATTAAGGCATGTACAGCTCAGCTCGCTAAAACTGTATTCTCTTTATAACACGTAGACCATTTAATGTTAACCCTGTAGGTTACAAATGGGTGTTTGTACGAAAGAGAAATACAAACAATATGGTGGTATGATATAAAGCGAGACTGGTAGCTTAAGGGTTTACGCAGAGACCCTGAATTAATTTTGATCAAATATTCTCTCCCACAACATATGGCATTATGTTCCGCAAATTAACATTATTGGCAGTGAATTATAAATTTAGATATGCAGTTGATGAGTGTCATGACCGCAAACTTACCGGTCGATAGACGCTAATATTTATTTGTAAATCCCTGATGGATTCAAAACTTTTGAAATAAGGAAAGTGAAAAATGGCAACGTGTATCATTAAACTACTAAAGTCTTTGTATGACTTGAATATTATTGACTGAGTGTTTTCCTCCCGAAGAAGGAATATGCAAATATGTACCATTATGTGTTTGTTAAAGAATTGCTAATGGAGTTATTTGTTTATTATCTCAGTCGTTAATAATGATTTAAATGTTATTGAAACACATAGAGAGCTTGGTGATATCAGCTCATGCCGAAAGACAAAGTTTTGAAATAAAAGACTTGGAAATCCAAGTATTGTCTCGACCTGAAGATCGAGCTTCTCCTTGAAGAAGTTTTATACACCAGTTAGCCTACTTGAAAAATATCTTGAAGATGTTTTATATAGATAAGTATTATTTACTTATCACATAAACGGTTGTCCAATAATCTCTTGAAGTAGATAAATGTCCATTTAGACTCGAAGATTATAATGAGGATATTTAGGGACTGGAAGTCCATTACTTCATTGCTATTGGAGCACTATTATTAAACTAGAAGTTCCATAATCGCATCAGGCTTGATATTGAATTTGCGATGAAATTGCTAGCAACATTTAGTGTTCCCCCTACAATGAAAATTGTAAATGATATTTAACATATCCTCCAGCACCTTCGAGGTACAAAGTTTTTGACGTTTATGTGAGAAACCCATATGTGGTTTTGATGGGCAACTTGGACACTGGTTCTTTTATTTGATCCATATGATGCCAAGTCCAAAACTGGTTATGTTATATTTTTACCCCCAATGTCCCATATGAGGACAAATAAGATTGTGTTGCACAATCAAGTAATAGTTTTGTTAAGGGGAACCTTACAAAACATGTTGCACCTAAATCCTTCTACACACATGAACCCTAGAAGAGTTGTAAAATTCTTGTTGAGAATGTTTTTCCCACTGAACAATCTTGCAGATATGTTCACTAAGTCTCTGCCTACATCCACTTTTGAGTAATATGTTTATAAAATTGGGATGCGTAGGCTTAGAAGATTGTTATCTTCAGGGGGGGGGGGGACAACCCCTAGCTGTGCTAGAATGGACAATCTAGAGGACTTTTGATATCCTGAAGATTATGCTACGAAAGCATATGGTTGTACTCTTTTTCCCTTAGCTAGGTTTTTCCCACAGGGTTTTCTTAGCTAAGGTTTTTAATGAGGTAACCGATGTTGGTGCACATGAGTGGATAGTCCTGAAGACCCTTGAAATCTTGAAGATTATGCCCAGAAGGCTTATGGTTGTACTCTTTTCCTTGGCTAAGTTTTTTCTCACTGGGTTTTCTTAGGCTAAGGTTTTTAATGAGGCAACCGGTGCAACACAATAGTTTAACATACTTTGTGTACTCTTTTCCTCATCTAGTTTTTCCCACTGGGTTTTCCTAGCGAGGTTTTTAACGAGGCATGAGTGTGGTAAGATAATGGCCAAGGGGGAGTGTTATAAATATTTTCATTATGGCCATTAATCTTGAGTCTCTTCATTTGCCTTCCACTTATTACATTGTTTATGATTAAGGATATGAAATGTTGTATGGATTCCTATAAATTGATAGTGAAGGCTAATGAAATGATATGGTTGTTGTGCCCTATATTTGGTGTTCTTCTTCTTCTCCTTTCTCTTTTACTTCTCTACTCTATACACGCATACATATACACCACGCGAGAACTAATGAGTTGATAGGCAGAATTACAACAATAAGATCACATGTGACATTTTTTACGCATACATATACACCACGCGAGAACTAATGAGTTGATAGGCAGAATTACAACAATAAGATCACATGTGACATTTTTTAAAAACAAACACTAATAATGAATTAAGGATGTTGTCTTCAACCTTTAAAGAAAATTATTTCTTTTTCTCAATGATATGGAGGTGCGGGGAATCGAACCCTGTGCCTCTCACATGCAAAGCGAGCACTCTACCATATGAGCTACACCCCCATAAACAATAATAAAGTGGATATTTTGGTAATGATCGTATGTTTAAGCTTGAGTATGTATTCGATAAACTCACATGCATTATTTACCTCAAAAAAGTTATAATTAATTTGGATCAAATGATATTTTTTGAAAGCATATAAGAGAATGAAATCTTCTATAACCTCCTCCTCTAATCCATTCTTTAGTTTATTTTTTGAACTCCAATTCCAATGTTGTTTTGGTTAGTCCTTTTAAACTTTTAATCGAAGTCAAAAATTGAAAAATTAAGAAGAGTAGAGTCTTTAGTTAACTGATTAGACTTAATTATGAAATAACATTTTGACCCTTGTTATCCCTAACATATATATCTTTCTTATCGTTTCTCATCTGCCTTGCCTTTTTTAAAAATGTTTCCATAACAACAATAATAATAATGTTTTTCTTTCTTTTTGATTTCACTCATCCATGTAATCCATAATAATAATAATAAATTATAAATACAATTTAAGAGTTAATAAATTAGCACAATATGCAAATTAAATTCATGTTACAAAAGTATAGTTCTCTCCCTGGTCTCTAGGGTTCTCTGTCTCCCTCCCTAGTTTCTAGGGTTTCTTCGTTTTGCATGAGTTTCTACGCTACTTCCACAATCTGTTTCTTCCCGTTTTTTGAACCGCAAACCTCAACATAGACGTTCAAGAGATAATCTCCAGTTGTGCAAACATTCGACGGGATGATGAAGAGGATGAGTTGCGATTTAACGATGAGGAGGCGCCAGGCGTCACACGAGAAATCTCCCAACAGTACTGGACGCTGGTTGGTAATTTCCTAACTGATCGAAGCATACAAATCAACATGATGAAGCAGGTGATGGCGTCGGTGTGGCGACTGTTGATGGGGATTCAAATCTCTGATCGATATTCAACCTAACTTATTCGTTTTCACGTTTTTTCTTGAGTATGACATGAGGCGAGTAATTGATGATGGACCATGGTTGTTTGAAAACACAACCCTGTTGTGCCGGCCCTTGTTAGACGGAGATAATCCTACACATGCAGGTCCAGCTAACCACTGTGGATCTATGGGTCTAGGTCTATGACCTCCTTGTGGGTTATTGTACGGATATGGTCATTGAAAATGTTGGTGATTATCTTGGAGTTTTGGTGAGACTGGACGAGAGGAATTTCCAAGGACCATGGAAAACGTTTTATTGAATTAGGGTTACGCTGAACGTGATTAAACCTCTAAAAAGACACATAAAATTGATTAAACGCGATGACTCTATAAAAGTCTTGATTAGATACACCCCTAAACAAACTTGGAATTTAAAAGGAAATGAATTGCAATTCTATCCTATTAAGACGGAGTACTAAACATGTTCAATTGATTGTAAATATATAAACAGACGATGTGGTTTCACTTTAGCGCCAAATTTTCCGCGCGGACAATTTTCACCCCGCGGATCCAATGCTCCATCATTTTTATTTTTTTTTTATTTTGGTTGGTTTATTCATCTTAATTTTAATATTTACTTTTTTCCTCTTCAGTTCTACTCCCTATCAAATTCCAATTAAAGAACGCAAAGAATCATGAAACTAGGGTAAAATTCAATGTTACCTTCCTACGTATCTATGTTTAATTCTTTCTATCTCAACACGTATGTCGGGATCTGTGAATTTCTGGGAAAAAAGTTGGATTTATATCTATGAATTTCTCACTCAGGTTTCCAAACTGAAGAAATCGTTAGGTTTCGCAGGAGTTGGTGATGCATTCTGCCTCAATCTGTCGTGATTATCAGTTCGAATCATAGAACATTCCTACTACATTGACCTGGTATTCCAGGCAAAGGTTAATACTTTACCCAGTCTGTTTCTAGGTCTGCTAGATTATCCAGTTTACGAAAGTTGTTTTTGATTGTTTATAGCTGGTGTTGCATTGAAAGAGGAACATTGAGTTCTAATTTAATTATTTAAGGCTTTAGGTAGTTAAAATACCAAACCATTGTGGTGGTGGAATCTCCAGGTGCGAAATATGGGGGCGCAGGTTGAAGAAGACGGATTGAAGAAGTTAGAGTATCTCTCCCTTGTTTCGAAGGTGTGCTCGGAGTTGGAGACGCATATAGGCGTCGGAGACAAGGTTCTGGCGGAGTTCATCACGGAAATGGGCCGGAACTGTGAGACTGTGGAGGAGTTCGATGAACAATTGAAGGAGAGTGGCGCTGAGATGCCCGATTACTTCGTTCGGACGCTGCTGACTATAATCCATGCAATTCTTCCTCCGAAACCCAAGTCTGAGTCCGAGAAGGATTTGAAGAGGACCGATAAAGGTGAAAAGTTTTCTGCTTTGAAAATTAAGGATGATAGGGAAAGGATTAAGGAGTTGGAGAGGGAGATTGAGGTCGAAGCGAAGAAGAATCGAGGAAAAGATGAGGAAGAAGATAGGCGGGACAGAGATGATAGGCGGGATAGGAGAAGAGAGAGGGGTAGAGATGATAGAAGAGATAGGGATAGAGACAGTAGAAGAGATAGGGATAGAGATGATAGACGAGAAAGGGATAGGGGTGATAGAAGAGAAAGGGGCAATGATGCTGAATATCGAAGTCAGGACAGGGACAGGGATAGGGATAATAGATATGATAAGAGGAAAAGAAGAGATTATGATGAAGATAGGGATGATGATAGAAAGAAAGGGATGTATAGATCGGAGGAACCTGAATTGTATAGAGTGTATAAGGGGAGAGTCTCCAGGGTAATGGACACAGGTTGTTTTGTTCAGCTGGATGAGTGCAGAGGGAAAGAAGGATTAGTTCATATTTCACAGATGGCAACTCGGAGGGTTGCAAATGCAAAAGATTTGGTGAAGAGGAATCAGGAGGTATACGTGAAGGTAATTTCAGTGAGTGGGCAGAAATTGAGTTTGTCCATGAGGGATGTTGATCAGAATACTGGAAAAGATTTGCTACCACTGAAGAAGAGCTTAGATGATGATGGTTTGAGGGAAAATCCATCTGGGCGAAATATGGAGGGGAGTAGGACGAGAATTGGGCTTTCAGGGATTCGGATCATAGAGGATGATGTTGTTGTCCCATCAAGAAGGCCATTGAAGAGAATGAGTTCGCCAGAGAGGTGGGAGGCAAAACAACTCATGGCTTCAGGTGTCTTAACTCTTAAGGAGTGTCCTATGTTTGATGAAGAAGGAGATGGAATGTTGTATCAGGAAGAAGGTGCTGAAGAGGAGCTCGAGATTGAGTTGAATGAAGATGAACCGCCTTTCTTGCAAGGCCAGAGTCGGTACTCGGTTGATATGTCTCCCGTTAAGATTTTTAAAAATCCCGAGGGTTCCTTGAGTCGAGCAGCTGCACTCCAATCTGCTTTGATAAAGGAGAGGAGAGAAGTAAGGGAGCAGCAACAAAGAACAATGCTTGATTCCATCCCTAAAGATCTAAATAGACCATGGGAGGATCCAATGCCCGAGACAGGTGAGAGGCATCTGGCCCAAGAGCTGAGGGGTGTTGGTTTGTCAGCCTATGATATGCCAGAGTGGAAGAAAGATGCTTATGGTAAAGCACTTACTTTTGGACAGAGGTCAAAGCTTTCCATTCAGGACCAAAGGCAGAGTCTACCCATTTACAAGCTGAAGAAGGAATTGGTTCAAGCTGTACATGATAACCAGGTCTTGGTTGTCATCGGAGAGACAGGTTCAGGCAAGACAACACAGGTGACACAGTATCTAGCTGAGGCAGGATATACTACAAGAGGTAAAATTGGATGTACTCAACCACGTAGAGTGGCCGCAATGTCTGTGGCAAAGAGGGTTGCCGAGGAGTTTGGTTGCCGGTTAGGGGAAGAAGTTGGTTACGCCATTCGTTTCGAGGATTGTACTGGGCCAGAGACTGTGATAAAGTATATGACAGATGGTATGCTGTTGAGGGAGATACTGGTGGACGAGAGTTTGTCTCAGTATTCCGTTGTAATGCTTGATGAAGCTCATGAGAGAACCATTCATACCGATGTTCTCTTTGGTCTCTTGAAGCAATTAGTTAAGAGAAGACCAGACCTTCGGTTGATCGTCACATCTGCAACTTTAGATGCAGAGAAGTTTTCTGGATACTTTTTCAACTGTAACATCTTTACTATCCCAGGGAGAACCTTTCCAGTGGAGATACTTTACACCAAGCAGCCAGAGGGTGACTATCTTGATGCAGCTTTGATAACAGTTATGCAGATTCACTTAACAGAACCTGAAGGTGATATTCTTCTTTTCTTAACTGGTCAGGAAGAGATTGATTATGCTTGCCAGTGTCTTTATGAGAGGATGAAAGGTCTGGGTAAGAATGTTCCTGAATTGATAATCTTACCTGTTTATAGTGCCCTGCCTAGTGAAATGCAGTCTAGAATCTTTGAGCCTGCCCCTCCAGGGAAGAGAAAAGTAGTTGTTGCTACAAATATTGCCGAAGCTTCTTTAACAATAGATGGCATTTTTTATGTTATAGATCCAGGTTTTGCTAAGCAAAATGTATATAATCCAAAACAGGGGCTTGATTCATTGGTCATAACGCCTATATCACAAGCCTCAGCGAAGCAAAGAGCTGGGCGTGCTGGACGAACGGGGCCAGGAAAGTGTTATCGTCTTTATACAGAGAGTGCATTTCACAATGAAATGTCTCCTACATCAATCCCTGAAATTCAGCGTATTAACCTTGGGATGACCGTGCTTAATATGAAAGCTATGGGTATTAATGATCTTTTGTCCTTTGATTTCATGGATCCTCCCTCTCCTCAAGCACTAATATCCGCCATGGAGCAGCTGTTCACTCTAGGAGCTCTTGATGAAGAGGGGCTGTTGACAAAGTTGGGTAGGAAAATGGCTGAATTTCCTCTGGAACCTCCATTGTCCAAAATGCTCCTCGCCAGTGTAGACCTTGGATGCAGTGATGAGATTTTGACCATCATTGCAATGATTCAGACGGGTAATATTTTTTACCGACCTCGAGAGAAACAAGCACAAGCTGATCAGAAAAAGGCAAAGTTCTTTCAACCAGAGGGTGATCATCTCACCCTGCTTGCAGTTTATGAAGCCTGGAAAGCCAAAAATTTTTCTGGACCCTGGTGCTTTGAAAACTTTGTACAATCGCGGTCTTTGAGACGTGCTCAGGATGTCAGAAAACAGCTCCTTTCCATCATGGACAAGTACTAATCTTCCTTCCTTCATATTATATATTATGGTTTTTAATAAGATTTTCATTGCTTAATATGATGATACTAATTACTTTTGCTTATCGAACTGTGTTCATTTTAGGTACAAACTGGATGTTGTGAGTGCTGGAAGAAATTTTACGAAGATAAGGAAGGCCATAGCTGCAGGTTTCTTTTTCCATGGTGCTAGGAAGGATCCACAAGAAGGGTATAGAACCCTGGTTGAGAACCAGCCAGTATATATACATCCTAGTAGTGCTGTATTCCAAAGGCAGCCAGATTGGGTTATTTATCATGAGCTTGTGATGACAACAAAGGAATATATGCGTGAGGTCACAGTCATTGATCCCAAGTGGCTTGTAGAGCTGGCACCGCGATTTTTCAAAGTGGCCGACCCAACTAAATTAAGCAAACGGAAGAGACAGGAACGCATTGAACCTCTTTATGACAGATATCACGAGCCTAATTCTTGGCGGTTGAGTAAAAGGCGTGCTTGATATGTGCTTCAACAATGCACTTACTATTTCGGAGGATTTTGTCATACTACTTTGCCAATTTCTAATGCACTTATTATTTCGGAGGATTTTGTCATACTACTTTGTCAATTTCTGTAACTATAGTACACTGACTTTTCCTACGGAGTATTTCCTATTAAAGCTTTTATTCAAAAATTTATATATATTTTTTCATTAATTGTGATTTATGCAATTGGATGTTTTGCCTTTTTCTTTTCCTGTTATCTAATTATGCAAGTTACTTGAGCACAAAAGACCTTTTTCTTGCATTGGCAATTAAAATGTTTTAGGTGCAAATTAGTTGATTTTTTTAGAAATTGTTTGTAAATCACAAATTGTCAAATTATGTATTCTAGATACCAATAGCCAGTATAAATTATGATGTGTTTGCATGCTTTCATTTGAGAAAGTCTCAATAAATCCACTAACATTAATGCTTTCCTCCTCTGTGTCTTCTAAAATTCTAGCATCACAACTAAACAAATGTAATGTTCTCTGGGCAAGGCTCCATGAGCCCAGGGAGGAAGCTTTACCTCAATTCTTGAATTACTACTACTCACTCACTCACTAACTTCTACTTTTTCTTCATTTTCAGTTCCATTCGCAAAACATTGCAGCCCCGGCTCTGAAATTTCTTGACTGTTAGCTCCGATTTTTTTTCTTTCCAAGGGAAGTTTTGTCTCGAGGAAGTGGGTTTTACAGACCATTTTTCTTGATTTTTTCTAGGAAGCTTGGCCTAGGCTTTCTCTTCTTTCTTGTGGGAGTGGTGTATCTTATTTCAGAGTGGGTTGTTTGAGAAAGAACGGTAGAGTTTGAACCTTAGAGTTCTGAAATTTGTAGGAGAATGGTTTGGTAAGAGTGGATTGTGAAAGTAGAGATGGTGTGAAAGAGAAAGAAAATTAAGATATATATAGATTATTAAAAAATTAATTGTAATTATAAAAATAATTAACTATACTAATATTTGTTTAATTATTAACTTAATTAACATAATAATTATTAATCAATTATGTTAATATCTATGTAATTAATTTATTAATTATTAGGTAATTATACAAATATTGTGCAATTATATTTTTATACATTCAGTAATATATATATATATATATATATATATATATATATATATATATATATATATATATATTGATGGGGTTATTGAGACTGTGTCTATTTGTTTATTAAATTTTAATGGACTAAAGGGAAGGCCTGAGGGGGAAGGGGTGCAGGGTGATGGCCGGCATCGGTCGGCGCGGGGGCATTGGCAGTCGCCGAGAGCCGCGCCTGCCACCCGGGGCCGAGGCACCCCAACGGCGTGGTGGTGCGCGCTAGATGGCGGCGTCTTGCCTGGGCGCATGCCGGCAGTAGGGGGGGGGGGGAGGCGCAAGTGGGCGCCCGTCTGTGTCCTGGTGGACGGTAACTTGGGCGTGGCGCTGCGTGACGCCGGGCGGATGGCGGAGGTGGTTGAGGTGGTTATGGTGACAACGATACAACATGGGACACATGTTCTATGGGGATTAGCAGAGTAGCAGCCTGTGGATAACATACACGTGGATGGTGAGGGTGAAGCTACTGGTAGTATTAAAAGGAGGGGGCGGGGGGGGGGGGGGATTGGCCTGTACAATACACAAAGATTCCTTTGGTCAAGTGGTCAGTCTTTTCCCTCCCGTTGGCGTACCAGGATTCGAATCTTGTTAGTAATATAATTATTTATATTTATTCATTATTCCTATAGCTTGGGTTATTTAGGGATCATTATGCTATGGAACCATGTCCACCTTACAAGTAGTAGTGTAGGATTTTAAATAGGTTTATCATAGTTTGTTGGGCGGCTTGCAACTCTAGGCCCGCCCAATTTTACTACATTAGGTCGGAGCATTTTGGAGTCCAAATTCGCAATAAAAATTAAAATCGATTTTTTTAATACTATTGACTATTAGATTATTACAATGCAGTATTTGTTCATAAGTACTTTCTCAACCTATTGAAGTATAAAAAGTCAATATCACCTTCACTGAGACTAGATCCCACAACTTCCCATATGAGGGAGCAACTTGGTGCCGTATATTGCAATAAAATCCCCAACTTCTGGAAATATCAATTCTTGCACACTTGAAAACGACATCGTTTCATTGCGGAATTCTACTATTCCCACTTCTCGTCGCCTTTCGTTCAACAGCAACTTGTCGGCTTGTCGGAATTTTGATTTTTCGCTTTAAGTTATAAACCCTAACCCGTGATTTCTGAAATACAAATTTACATGCATCGAGATACGCAAATACATACTCACAGCGCTGTGTGCGTATACTGGTCTGCGAAATATGGGGGCGGGGCGATGGTTGAAGAAGACAGGTTGTGTTACTTGACCGTTGTAGAATGGGAGAGTTGATATCGGGCCTTTTCTATTTGTAGGTGAGTTTGAACTAAATGCAGCTGCACAAGCAAAAAATGACTATTGTTTAGATACTCATTTAGTTATGGAATAAGAGAGTTTTTGTTTTGTGGATTATATGATCTTTAAATGTATCCCAGATTTAAATGTTGGAAAGTGAAAACTTGTGTAGTAGTATGTATGTATGATGGGTTTGAATGAACTCAGTGAAAAAATTATTTCCGGCCTTTTTGGGTGTTGGATTGACCCCTTTTGTAACATTAAAATTCACTTAGCATGTTTTTCACATAATAATTTCAAGATTGGTCTCTGAAGTAAAACAAAGATTATGCTAGATGATATTACATGTCTTTCTACGGTCTACTTTCCACACAAAGATATATATACACAATTTCCATGCTTTACTTATCTTTGTCTTATAATTTATTTTTCTCAACATTGAATACAATGTTGAAAATAAGTGTGGGGAAGGAATTTCTATTTCAAAATGTTTGTTATTCTTTTGAAAAAATTATAAACTAGAAACAACTTTTAGAAAATTGTAAATTTTATGTGTTTTTTTAGTTTTTAAAAAATCTTTAACTTAAAAATTTATTAAGTATATGAAGTTAAACTTTTACATTGTGAGTCTTTTGAATAGTCAGTGATTAATATAATGCTGATTTTGTCAACTCTTAGTGTATATAATACATGTGACTAATTGTTATTGTTATTTTCATTTTATTTTAATTTTTTGAATAACTTTGTTAAAAAAATTCAAAATATAAACAAAAACCCTTTTATGTTCTATATAATTTCTTTGATGATTTATATGTCTGTTTTACTTTGTACCCCTTTTTCAAATTCTTATACAAATTTGAATGCTATAAATTGTGGTGTAAGTGTATTTGTTTCAAGGATCACTTTTTGGCATAGTGAGGTGAAAAAATAATTTAAAAATTAGAGTGTTTTATTTTATTTTCAATAATTTGAAAATTCTACTCCGTTCAATGAGACACATACGTACACATGTACAATAAATAAATAAATAAGTATTATGGTCTGGATTATGAGTACACACATAATTGAAAACTCAAACGTGTCTAGCTAAGTAATTGGGTTCCTTCATCACTAATGTCGGTGCTAGCATAAAAAGACGAGAGGTGTTTGGGGAATTTTTCTTTGAAAAAATTCATAAAATAAAAAATAATGAGTGACATTTGAAAGAAACGAGCATATGCATATTAATTTTAATAAATGCTTTCAATCCTTGTTTATTTTGTGCTTGCACTTGCATTATGATATGATATTTCTGAACTTGACTTAGATTGTGAAATTTTCATATTGATTTGTTTGGTTTTTAAATTTAATAACAATATCATGCTATGCATATTAATTTTAATAAATGCTTTCAATCCTTGTTTATTTTGTGCTTGCACTTGCATTATGATATGATATTTCTGAACTTGACTTAGATTGTGAAATTTTCATATTGATTTGTTAGCCCATTGGTTTAGGGCTAAATTGACATCCCTACTTACATTATCAAATAATACATGTCCATTTTTAGTACGACACGAAATGCACAGTATAATTTGCCATCAACTCAATGATAGATTGATAGACCAAATTTCGTATAAGGGTGCGTCTGGAACCCCGTACAATGATTTATGAAAATCATTTTTTGCGTTTCTCGTATTTGTTAAAGAATGAAAAATGTGAGTCGAAGAAAAATGACTATTTGGTCAAAGGAAAATACCATTATTTTACTAGGAAATGACTTCTCATATTTTTTGGAGGAAAAACATTTTTCTAATTTCCACCACCACAACCATTAGCCACCACACTACCGACACCAATACTACCACTTTGAGTTGTCAAAATGGGTCAGCTCACCCCATACGGGCTGGCCCGTCTCGACATCTCAGATTTGTCTAGAAACGAGCGGGTCAGACCATTTTTTACACAAGTTGAGAAAATCTTAACCCAACCCGTGGTGAGACGGACTGACGGGCTACTCATTCACACACACACACACACACTCACATGTATGTATAAATATTCCTCTATGGTTCATGTTCAGTTGAGTCACCATGATTTACATCCTCCCCAAATGCTCTGTCGGGCCGGGGTGTGGGGGGCCCTTAGGGTTGGGGTTCAACCTTTTGGAATAATGTATGTATAAATATTTGAGTTTTTGTATAACTCAAAAATCAAACCTCCAACCTCTTAGTTAACAATTAACACTATTTCCAATCAAACAAAATAAATTTGGAATAAGGTTCAAATTGGCCACTGAACGTAACCTGAAAATGCAATTAGGCCACTGAACGAAAAAAAAGTGCAATTAGGCCACTGAACACTCCAAAAATGTGCAATTTCACCTGATAGCAGGTTACCCTCAATTTTAGCAGGTTATCTGCTTACGTGGCAGCTGAGTTGACATTTTTAATAAATTTTAAATCATTTTTAATAAATTTTAATAATAAATTTTTATTTAAAAAAATAAAAACGACTTTATTTTATTTTTTATTTAATTTTTTTCAATTTTTTATAAAATTTATTATTAAAATTAATTATTAAAAATTATTAAAAATGCCAACTCAGCTGCCACGTAAGCAAGTAACCTGCTAAAATTGATGGTAACCTGCTATCCGGTGAAATTGCATACGTTTGGAGAGTTTAGTGGCCTAATTGCACGTTTTTGAAGTGTTCAGTGGCCTAATTGCACTTTTTGTTCGTTCAATGGTCTAATTGCATTTTCAGGTTTCGTTCAGTGGCCTAATTGCACGTTTTTGAACACCATGTATGCGCGCGCGCGCGCGCGCACACACACACACACACACACACACACACACACACACACACACACACACACACATATATATATATATATATATATATATAAGATTTTAATTTTTAATATATAATTATAATTTATTTACTTTATATTTAATGCTAGGGAGTCTTATTAGTTAGTTTCTATGGTGGACTTAGTTGATGCGAACAACAACAAGAATTTGCTATTGTTTATCGCAAAAATTTTGTAATAAACATTAATAAATTTTAGTTGGTGTTCGTAATAATTTGTTGTTATGATTTGTTTAATACATATGTGTCAAAATAAAGAGATAAAAATCAAAAGTATATGAATATTTATGAAAGTTTTGAAACGTACAGTAAAATTTGATAGGAATTGCTGGAAAATTTATCAGGTTAAAATAGAGAAAACAAGTTTGTAGAGAATACTGAAAAGTTTTGGGCTAGATGATTGAATTTCATCTATTTATATTAGTGAAGAAAAAGTATACATAAAAATCATTATTATGATAGGGTCTATAAAAAATTAAAAATGAATAAGTTTTTGAATACCAATAAACTTTTAAAAATTCTATAAAAGACTGAATCAAATATCAGTATTTAAATCGAATATAACTAAACTTTTAAAGTCATTAAAAATCTTTAAAAATTTATAAAAATCTTAATTGGATACATACCCTAAACAAATTTGGAGTTTGAAAGGAAATGAAATTGCAATTCAATCCTAAAACATATTGAATTGATTGCAAATACATATACAGACGATGTCGTTCCACTTTGGCGCCAAATTTTCCGCGCGGACAATTTTCACCCCGCGGCTCCATCTTTGTTTTTTTTGGGGGGGTTTGGTTTATTCATCTTAATTTTAATATTTACTTTATTCCTCCTCAGTTTTACCTGAAAGAGATAGAAAAAGTTCTTTCTTTTTTATACGTTAGTATCCGCTTACGCCAGACTACTCCGGCAAAGAATCATGAAACTAGGGTAAAATTCAATGTTACCTTCCTACGTATTTGTGTTTAATTCTTTCTATCTCAACACGTATGTCGTCGGGGGATCTGTGAATTACTGGGAAAAAGCTTTCACTGAATTAGAATAATTGCACTAAATAGGTTTTTTATTTTTTGGTTGGATTTATATCTATGAATTTCTCACTCAGGTTTCCAAACTGAAGAAATTGTTGGGTTTCGCAGGAGTTGGTGATCCATTCTGCCTCAGTCTGTCGTGATTATCAGTTCGAATCATAGAAAATTCTTACTACATTGAGCTGGTATTCCAGGCAAAGGTCAATACTTTACCCAGTCTTTTTCTTGGTCTGCTAGATTATCCAATTTACGAAAGTTGTTTTTGATTGTTTATAGCTGGTGTTGCATTGAAAGAGGAACATTGAGTTTTAATTTAATTGTTTAAGGCTTTAGGTAGTTAAAATGCCAAACTGTACTGGTAATAAACTAATGATGATAGCCATTGTGGTGGTGGACTCTCTAGGTGCTTTCTGCTGTGGTTTAGAGTGTTTGGAAATTGGGGTAGAAAAATATTCCCCTATAATTGGGGTTGAAAATAAGGGAGTAGATAAATTCTGTACAACTTGGGGTTAAATTGGATTTTCATCTATAATTGAGCTATGAAAAGTTTTTTTTTTTTTTTTTTTTTTTTTTTTTTTTCTTGTTTCCTGCTTGGAAAGTTGCTAACCAAATATTTCCAGATATAATGCAATCTTGATTAATCTAAATTTTAGTGGAATTAGTCCATCCTTGAGTGCAGCAAAGTCTAGGTTTTACCTCACTTTTACTCTATGAAAATTAGCAATGTTCTTGATGAGTCCTTAATAATATGGCCACTTTTTTGTTAAAATAAAGTAGATAAATGTCTTCCTTGCATTGTCTTTGCCCCTGCTTCCAATTGGCCTGAAGGTAGCTTTATGCATTTAAGTCTCACCCTTTGTTTGACTTTACGTGCAGTTTGCAATAAATGGCCAATAAACCTCAAGAAAGGAAGTGCCCTAATAGTAAGTTACTTAATGCAAATGTCCTTGTTTTCCTTTGTATAGTATTATTCTAGTTAGCATATTATTGTATTACACTGAATACTGGGACCAGTAGAATGTCAAGATCTAATTAGTTTATATATGCCTTTTTGATGTTCCTGCAGAGTCTGATTTCTTTGTAAAGACTTCAGAGAAAAGACATCAGAAGAGACAGAAAACTGAGCAATTATGCCTTGGGTCAGCTGAAGAGAATGACAAAGCTTCTTTCGTCCCTGAGTTAGATGCTAGTATGATATCTTGCTATACCCTTTTAGATAAGTTTCTAGAATCAGTAAGGCATTCTCATAGTTAATTGTGGGACTATTAGTTTACTATTTTTTTCCCTTGGTGTTTTTTGATTGATTGAACCTTGAAAGGTTGATGTATTATTATGTTTACACTCTGCTATTCATTTTCATAGCTAGAAAACATTCTGCACTTACCACTGTTCCTTTTACCTGATTGTTTCATTTTAATCAGGATTTACTTGTTAAGTTGAGAGTAAAGGCTACAGAGTTATCTTCAGCAGTACAAAGCTGAAATTTCTAGATTGTCTATACAGAGAAAAACTATCTACTATACTAGATTTTCACAATCATTTATTTCATTTTAATTTTAAAAAGGGAAAATGGTGCTTTTGGTCTCCCAATTATAGAGGTATAGTGGACTCAGTCCCCCAATTATAGGCGCCTCCAGTTTTGGTCCTCCAATTATTAGTGTAGTGCCGTACTCACCACCCCCCCCCCCCCCCCCCCCGCCCAATAGCTAATTTTAGTCTTAAAACCTAATTTTTCAGCACTAAACTTGTAAAGTTACTTCCATTCTCTCTGCATCGAGGAGAAATTATGCATTTAAGTTATCAAGGTTGAAGTCACATATTTGGGGAAAAACTAGGTGTTTTGTTTCAATAGCCCATCTATTGGAGGGAAAGAGAACTGAGAAACTTACAAGTTTGGCCCTAAAAAATAAGGTTTTGAGACAGAATTTAGTGTCTAACAGTTCTGTTTTGATTGGGAGAAAGAAGCACTTATAATTGGGGGACTAAGTTTACTATACCCCTATAATTCGGGGACCCAAACTACCATTTTCACTTTAAAAAATAATCTTCTATTTAGAATTACTATTTTTTTAAAATTCTCCTTTTACTTTTTCTTTCAATTTCTTAAGAACTTTTGGGTATGATGAGTGATTTATGGTTTAAGGCAAATCTATTATGAAAAACTACAAGTAGGGTTCTACTTCTGAGAATCTGAGACATGAATGAAATTTAGTATATAGTAATCATACCTTTATGTATTAAATAGTTTTATATTTTGCTAAGAATTTAAGATCAATGTGCTACTCTTACTGGCATTATTGCTTATAAACTGGCATTTGTTTGGAAGATATGAAGACTCCCCCAAGAAAGCAGAAGCGGCAAGCTAACTCCACACCTGAGAAAACACCGAATAGTGCAGAGAAGCGACAGGCTATATCCACAGAAGAGAAAAAACTGAAAAGTGTAGAGAAACGACAGAAAAGTACTCCAAAAAAAAGAGTAATAAAAAATGGATCAATGGAAGCATGCCTTAGGCCATCATTATGTAGTCTCATGCAGGATGAACCATCATCCAATGTGATTCCTGATCTACGAAAGGAAGCTAGAAAAACAGCTGAGGTTAGTTGAAGTTTTTCCTCTTTTTCCTTGTACTTCAAATGTATAATGAGGGAATATAGTAGAGTATGTAATTAGAAATTTCATGCCAAGAACTGGATTATCTGATTTGTTTAGTTAAATTATCTTGATATTCCTTTTTCCTAATGGTTCAAGGTGTATGTGAAATAATTGGGGTTGCTTTATTTGTCTATATGTCTTAAATTGCTTATGCTTTTTTCTTTGGACTCTCAGCATTTGACTTAATATGTTGTTTCAATTGGAATCCCCTATCTCTTCCTTTTCCCTTCAGGAAAGCTCGCGTATATATGCAGGAAAAGAAATACATCCATTTTTTTCATCATGGAAAATTGGTAAGCGAAAAAATGAGGCGATCAATTTGGAGAAAAAATGGAGCACTTCTGAGAAAGAGGAAAAAACTCTTACTCTTGTCCCAATCCATGTATTGGAGACAGTTGAGGTACAATATTTTGGTTTCATTATTTGACCATATGGCCGCGTTGGCAGCTAATTGATGGTTCATATGTGGCTGTGTTCTACTTTAATTTGTTTTTCCATCCTGGAACTCCTTGTTTAAATATATCATATACATATGCAGGAAGATGCTTTCACCCCTGATTGGCAGCAGTGGACATTTTCTGAAAGATGCCTTCTGAGTGACAGTTACATTCTAGAACATGGATGCTCACCAATTTATGAAGGATCTGTTAGCTCCCTGCAATTTGATACATTTCGTAGTCTCTCTAATCCATTTAGGCCATTGCCATACCAAAATGAGATTTCTGTTGATCAGCATTCTGTTTCCCAAAAGGAAGTCTGTTTGGTAGATTCTCCTGGGAAACAACATTTGTTCCATCCAACATCTCCCATCCTTTTGGCTGAAGAAAAAATCCAGCAGGAGTGTTTTAAGAATTCAGAGGTGCCAAATTCTGATGAATTAACTGTATAACTTTATAATTTCACGTCATATATTTTCCTTTTAGATTCCGACCTTTGTGTTAACAGGACAATGAAATTGAAACACTCAGCTCATTCCTGAAGATTTCTGGCTGTGTAAGCTCAGATACTGACAAGCATGATAGATTTCTTGGAGGAGGGTGAGTCACAGTACTTTTCTATATCCACACTTGAAGTCCTTAAACATGCTAGTTTTTTTTAGACTTGGGAGTTCATGAACTCCCTTTTTGCGTGCCTTGGGATGGCTTATGGTTTTTATATGGCTAGAACTGAAGTAATCCTCACTGAAATAATATGGATTAATGTCAAAACCATTTGAATGCAACATCAAGTCACATTCTTTGATTACTTGATTTGAGAAAAAAGTTTATATTTTTCGTGCAGCCAACATCATGTTACGACTGATATTCATCCTCTGTTATTATTTATTTTTTTTTTAATGTTTAGGCTGATACCTCATAATCAAAGTTTTCACAACCAACCTGAAAATTGCCTATGGACAGACAAATACCAGCCTGAGAAGGCAGTGCAGGTGAAACATTTGATATATGGCAACTGCTTGTTACTCCTCTCGGTTAACTTTTGTTTGAGAACCTATGTTGAATTACTCTAAGCCCTCTAATTTGTGGTTTCTTTTCATTAACTAAAATTTTCTAGTAATTTCTCTCTAGGTGTGTGGTAATGGTGTATCAGTGAAAATTTTGAGTGAGTGGCTGCATTCTTGGCATGAAAGAGGGTCTCAAAGAAGCAAAAGTTTCAGATCTAATGATACATTTATTGAGCAAGAAGTTGGTGACGATGATTACCTAAGTGACTGTGATTCAGACAATGAGGATACAGAAAATCATCTTAAGAATGTTCTGTTGGTTACAGGACCAGTTGGGGTATGTGGCTAGTTCTTAATCATATACGTTAGAAGTATCTTACATACAATACCTGATTATTTTTGTTTCAATGCTTTTAACTTTTATGCCTTTTGTTTGAAAAATTTAAATTGAACCATTATCACCATAGTAACATAGTTTGCAATATAGGCATGCCTTATGCTCCAAATATTGGTTCCATAATTTCATTTTGGTGAATAACACACATTTGAATACTGCAGAGTGGGAAGTCTGCTGCCATTTATGCCTGTGCAAAAGAGCAGGGATTTCAAGTCATTGAGGTACTGCTAAACAAGTAGTTAAATATCTTTTGTCAACAAAATGCTCCTATTTAGTGTATATTAGTTAGATAACATCTGCTCAGTCTTCCCTTTACTTCTATATCTATAGTTGTATATGCAGTCAGAATGTCAGATATTAAAGAACAACTAAGACATTTATCATGTAGTCAACTAAGTTTAAATTATTCTCTTGGAGTTGGGCATATCGAACAAATAAGTTAGGCATTTAATCTCTCTCAGGTCAATGCATCAGATTGGCGAAATGGAGCTCTTGTTAAGCAGATGGTTGGGGAGGCTTTGGAATCACAATGGCGTCAACGGTATGTCTAGATCTGATAACTAGTTTCTGCATCTCTTACTTTACAAATTAAGTAGCTCCTGTAGAGGAATCGGTAAGGTTGTATTGATTTTGTCGCATCCACATACACATCCTGGTGTGTTAAGCCTCGATTTATTTAAAGAAGCTTCCCATATATCCCAAACCTTTAAATTGAGAGAAGTGAACAGAGATCAGTAACTCTGCATCATATAGTTATTTGTGACTTGCATGCGAAAATGAATTTACTCAGGAATTAGTAGCTTTTGTTCAAAGCACAACAGGGTGGTAAGATAAATCTGGTAAATACAGGAGGCTTGAGGATCGGTGGATTCTTCTTCTTATCATTGGTAGTTCAAGATGCTTGTTAAATGTTTTTTAAAAAGTAAGGTATCATTTAATAGCTATCAACAGGGTGCCACTGATAGGTGATAGTACAAAGTCAAAGATAAAGAAGTAGATCTGTGTGCAACAAAAGAACAAAAGCTTGGCAAGTTTGTGCCTACCCAAAAAATCAGTTAAAGATAGCACAGTGACCAAAGGAAATGGGTGCGCACAATAAGGTTGTTGAATTTTTTTATCAAAATTCAATGTAGTTCAATAAACTCTTCCACCAAATCACACCATCAAGAATTCAAATATGGTATTGTGATGCAGATACGTTAAATAGCTGAATGAAAAATGGGAGAAAAGAACTCTATTTACCAGAGTATATTTCATACAATAATCTGCAACTCCATTGACAACTGACGTTTTGGGAGCAGATCTGTTGGCCATGGCTCAGACATATACGAAACTTTGTTGGGAACACCAATTGTGCCATGTTTGACTTTCCTATGCACACCAATTGGAATATAACTAGCATAGAGAAATTCAATTCAACGGTCTTATGATTTTGCAATGACAAGCTGCATATCTTGTCTAGTAGCTTCCCTTCTATGTAGTTGCTATTTTACCACTGCATGCCTACGCAACACCTTTCTCTGTTCAACCTTACAAAAGGCACTTTGCATGCCTGAATTGAAGAGCAAAACATGACTTCAAATTTTAGTTCGTAGTGTTAACAATAATATTTCTACATGGAAATCTTGGTTCTGCCAACTTGTGCTTAATGAACTGTTCAGCTTCAAATTTCTGTTTATTGTGTTTATGATTGATCATGTTTCTACACGTCAATGTTGGTTTGTAGCAACTTATGTTTAATGAAATTCCCTGCTTTCAATCTGATTTTGAATGTTTTCCTGCTATTTGAAGTCAACTTTTAAGGTTTTTTTTTTTTTTTTTTTTTTTTTTTTGTAAATAATTTCTTGTGAAATGTTTTTTCGATTAATGACTTAATCGGAGATGCAGCCACTAAGCATGATGTGTTCCTGTGAGTTAATTATGTCAGTCTTTACTTAAAACTGCTTATTTTTATTTCAGTACACAAAAAGATACAGCAAATGCAGAGGACAACACTCTACTAAGGTCCTTTTCAGCTGCTGTGACTGGGACTGAAGGGCCTATGAGCGAAGTTATTGAGCTGATACCGATACTAGATGATGAAGATTCCCAAAATGCCAGTGCAACACCCAGAAAGTTAATTTGCAAGGACAGAACTAATAGTCACGGTGACCTTAATACCTTAGTCCTTTTTGAGGATGTTGATGCTGCTCTTTGTGAAGACCGTGGTTTTATATCTACCATTCAACAACTTTCAGAAACTGCTAAGCGGCCAATGATATTAACTAGCAATAGTAAGATAATTTATCTTGTTGGAATTTTATTGTTTTTGAATCTAATCTTACAAAAGTTATTAATCCCTTTGGGTGCAATTTTTAGGCAACAATCCTGTGCTTCCAAACAATTTGGATAGGCTAGAGTTGTGCTTTACAATGCCATCTTCGAAGGACCTCCTTGAACTTGCAAACACGGTACATTTTCTTGTGCAAATGTATCAAATTTCTGCCATTCTTGGATGTCCATAATAAATTCCTCTGCAGGTCTGTAATGCAGAAAAAGTTATAATGGACTCTTCATTGGTAGAGGGATTTGTCAATCACTGTGAAGGAGACATTCGCAAAACTATCATGCTACTCCAGTTCTGGTGTCAAGGTCAAACCTTTAGGATAGGTAATTGCTATAAGGCCCTGCTGCTCCAGAATGCTTATTGCTGTTTATACTATTTCTGCAGGATAACATCTGAGTTCTCTGATAGGGAAATTTGCTTTTTATTCATAACAGTAGCTTTCCTGGATTAGTATTTAACCAATCTTTTGATAAGCATTGAATGTGAACTCGCACATAGTGGTCAATTCATCTGCTTAACCTCATCTATGCCATGAATTTAGTAACTCCATACGGTCCTTGCCTGAAATTTTGTCCTCTTGTGAAGAAATGCTTCAGGCAACTAGAATTTAATTTTAGCTTCAAATTCTATTCATGCAGTGCTGTCAGATTCTTTAGTATTTCTTGAAACTGTTACTAAAAAACAAAAGCTTCCAGAGGAGTTAATACCTGTCTCTTTTGTAACATGAATGTGTATGAATTGCCTTGTAACAACAATTCAATTAAGAAAATTTATTCAGCTCAAATTTCATTTCATCAATGATCAATCCAAGCTTTATATTTGTGATCTAACAAGTTCTCAACTTACCGTGGCTTACACATTCCAAAAGAAAATAGAAAGATGACAAGTCATCTAGAACTAAGGTTTTAGTTCATCTTAGTTCTGCCTCTGTTTACAGACAGGCTATGTGAGAACTCAGTGAGATCTTTGACTTACTCTTATGCTGCTTATCTTTTGTTCAGCTCAAATTTCATTTCATCAATTAGTTACAGTATTCTATCATGGTTTTGCCAGGGAATGAAATCCCGACATATAGGCCACTTCAATTTGATATAGATGCTGGGCATCTAATGCTGCTGAAGTTAATCCCCTGGAGTTTTCCTTGCCCTCTCTCTGTACTTGTTGATGAAGAGATTTCTAAATCAATGAGAGTGGCAGAAAAAAGCTTTACCTTAGGGGATATAGTTGAGGAAGACCAGTTGAATGGCAGTAATATATGGAATAGTTCTAAAAAGTTTGTTGAAGATCCAAGCAGTATAAATGCAAAAAAGGAAGCAATGTTAACTTTGCATGGTTCACTGCCGGATGAAAATGAGCTTACAGCCAAGTTTGATAGTAATACTGAATGTTCTAATTACTCTGGCTCCCCAGTTGCTTTCCATCGTAGAAATACCCGGAGAAAACTTGATACTGTGTTTTCTGATTCTGATGATGAGGAGTGTTTAAGCAGCAGAAACATGATAGATTTAAACAAAGTCCCATGTGATAATTGTGATGAAGAAAATGAAATGATGTGGAATTCTCCATCTGATGTATCGTCCACTAAAATGGATTGCAGTCTTTCAAGCGAGCCTCATCATTTTAAACCAAAAAGATTGAAAAGAAATTGTTGGGAGGCAGATGATTATTCTCATCCAAATGGAATGAGCATAGCATGTGATTTGTCTTGTGTACCAGAGTCATCATTTGTTCCAGAATCCAGGCTTAGTAGTGAGTCCTATGTTGATGTGAACTGTAAAGTTGAAGCTGATTGTATGAATGATTCACTGCCAAGTATTCCCCGACTTGAGGATGACAATCTCGAAAAACCTGTTCTTGTATCATGTAAAAATCGTGAATTACTAGGTTGTAGTTCTGATATTAACACAATGTCAGTTTGTGGTGATGAAGCTAGTCATTACAATGTCCACCAAGGTGAAGATTCTTCTGGAGGATGTCAGTTGTTGGATGAGTGTAGCCGCATTGACTTCAATTGGAGATTTATCACCTTAAGCAATGATAAACATCATATGACCAATTCTGTGCAAGAAACATGGAGAAAACTCAGTAAGGGGCACATGGACCTGAAACAGTATGTCACCCCAGATCAGAAAGATGCTTCCAAGGTTCTTAGTATTGGTTACAAATTGAGTAATTTAATCTCGGAAGCTGATTTATTATCTAATGACTGTCAGCAGCTTATATATGTAAGTCTCATATTAGCTATAAGTACCTGCCTTAATTCCTTTGATTTCATGTATGTTCTGCATTTGACGGTTTGTTGGCTTTCCTTCAGGATTCTTTGGAACCTTCTATGATACCATGTGATAAATTAGAGTCGTATAGCTGGCCAGACGATCAATTGCATATGTCATCTATAATTGCTCAACATGGGATATGCCTCTTTGCTAAAGAAATTGCCAATTTGGAGTTAGATAATGTATCTGTAAATCAATTGGATTTGGCATCAGAGATGTTAGCATCATCAGACAGTACAATGGCTCTGGGAAAACGGGTTGGTCTTGACAGAAGAGAAATCTTGACCACAGAACTAAGGCCACCAAAAAACTTCGATTCTTCCAAAAGGTATACAACTATAGCCTACCTTCTATCTCATAAGTACATAATAGTTCACCAGCACAAATAAACTGTTTTGTAAGCCCAACCATTTTTCTTCACAGTAAAGGGCAATAATGCCTGAAACTGGCAGTCCCGAGACTCCCTTTAGTTGAAGCTATGTAATAATGTGATCATAATAGTTACTTCATTGCGGTGCGAACTAATGCAGGAAGTTGGGCCCAGATCCTGTGAATCTACTTCAATTGGCAGTTCCGTTGCGGTCACACCTTTCACTGAAAGGTGATGCACTTCATGAATATCTATCTTCATTCAGCCAGATTTCAAGATTAGAAGCCAACCGTTTGTCCAGCTGTGTTGGCAGGAGTAAACAAAGAAGGCAAGTGTTTGTTGCATTCCTTTTAAAAAATACCCGATCAAGAATTTCCATTTAGAATCCCATATGTTGAGCATATAATATATGAACATAAATATGCAATCGAACTATCAGCTTAGACTTTTAGTTGAGATGGAGCACATGCTTCAATTTGGTATCAAAACCTATGTCCACGTTAGGGGATGTGTTGAGCATATATATAATATATAAACATGAATGTGCAATCCAACTATCAGTTTAAACTTTTAGTTGAGATGGAGCACATGCTTTAGTTCTATACTCATATGCTGCTAAATATCTGCATTGCAGGGCACGAGTGAATCGACACTACTTGGCGTCTGGTGGATGTTCATTATCAGAGGAAGACATTTCATTGCTGTGTCAATACAATTGCTATCATAATGATGATTCATCCAAGTTTAATTTGCAAACATCATAGTTAAAGAATGCTTACAGTTGTTTATATAGGAGGAGGATATTTGCTAACTTCACTTCAAAAGCTGTATTTGTAGTGTCAACATTGAAACATGTTTCTAGAGGTTCTGCTTACTGAGATAGGCAATAATATTTCATCCAGGGTTTAGGTTCCCTTTAGCTTCAAGTCCACTCTTAAGAGCTTATTAGTGTATATAATTATTGGAAATTTTACCATTCTTTTTGGCTGACATGTCTTGAGCAAATGACATTTAGCAGCAGAGTTTTGCATGATTTCTTTCTTTTTTTTTTCTTTTTTTTTTTAATTTTTATTTTTATTTTTGATATTAATGTAATTCAGTCTTCATTCTATCACGTCACATGCGATGATGCTAAAGAAGCATACTGCAAATAAACTAAAAGAAATCAACTTTGGTCGAATTCTTTTTGGAACAAGTTGAAATTTTTTTGATATTAAATTATTAACTTCAAAAAGTTAAAGGTGAAATTGCTATAGCTTGTAGAAGTGTTAGAATTGTTCTCTAACCAATAAACCTATGATATAAATGCAAGAGAACAGTAACATAAACTTGAAAAACGTACCATAGGAGTATAGGCTGTTTAGTGAGTAATTGGTATAATATAAGGGCATTCGCATTTGTGTTTTTTTTTTTTTTTTTTTTCCAGATAAAAATACTAGCTAAATAAGAAGTAAATTGATGGGTATATTAATTTTTGAAAATATTTTTCTCTTGCAAATATATGGATTTTGTAGGATCCGAGAAGAAAAAGCGCATCTTGCGTGTTTGGAGCGCATTTCGCGTCCCAGTGGGCTGTGCGCATCATAGTGGCCGTCACTCTGACTTCTAATTGTTGCTTTCTTTTTTTTTTTTAAAAAAAAAAAAATTGTCAGATTTTTTTTTTTCTTCTTCCATTTTTGTCTTCTCCTACATGGCCTCCTAAAATGTTGTGTAAAAACTAACCGATGATGATGCTCTAAAGTTGTAGTCATTGTAGTTAGCTAGTTACATGGATTTTGATGTATATTTTCAAGATTGATAAATATTTTTTATATACTATATTTAATTTAAGGTAGTCTATTCCTATAATTCAATTATTACAATATCTATGTTTAACAAAGATATCCATTTTTAATCCAATAGGGTAGCTCAAGTGGCAAATGAGCTCTCTTTGTGGGGGAAAATTTTGAGATAACCCGAGTTCGATTCCTCTGGGCTAGCTTCTGGGCCTCTCGGAGCGAACCGGATGGACCTAAACCGTCGATTCTCTCTGGGCTAGCTTCTGTGCCTCTCGGAGCGAACCAGATGGACCTAAACCGTTAAACAACTGGCAACCATTACAATTGCCCAGTGAGCGTGAAGAGCATACATCCACTTGATTACTGTCATGCCCATTTTTTTTTTTTTTTTTTTTTCCTTTGACAAAAATTTCGAAATAGCATTTAAACTCCTCTCTCCTCTCTCTTTTGTCCCCTCACTCCCTACTTCTTCTAACATAGCTAAAAAAAAAAAAAAACTTGTAAAAAAGGTCCATTGGAGTAATAAATCCTACAAGAGTGGAAGTAAATTCTTTATCACACTGAGATTAAAAGAATTAAAAAAAAGTCTGATCTTGCAAAATGGGGGCACTGACACTAGCTTTTATATTGCTTCCATTCTGAATAAAGTAATAAACACATTTAGATCTAAAAATGGCTGAATCTTGGTCTGCATTTTAAAAGGTTGACAAAGAAATACCAGAACATATGATATCGGAGAGGAAAGCTAGCTGCTTTTGAATAAAAAGCACTAATGCTTGAAGCAACTATTGATTGTTACTAGTGAGTGATCTTGTTTTCCCTGAAAGTAATTCAGATGATTCCCAAGCTGCTAACCAATTTGGGGAGACAATAAAGTCTCTATTTGTTCCGCTTTTTGGCCTGCTTTCCTTGGCCCTTCTTAGGTGGTCCCTTTCCACGACGCTTCAACATTTCTAGCTTGCTCAACCGCCTGTTAAATCACAAACCTATGAGAAACTTGCTATTCTACTTCTACACAGCAAAAATTATATTATATTTTCAATATTACACACATCATACAAATGGATCAGATGTTCAAATTACCCCCCCAGTTAATGCTAAATTCTTCTTCAGCATCATTGCTGACAATTACCAACTTTTAGTTACGAAATGCAGTATTATTATGCCTCCTGAGTTTTGTGAAACAAAACAGTGGTATTTTTTGGAATTAAACTCCAAAGCTCAACTTAGAGTCATTTATTTGTCTTACAAAACCCCACTTAACCTCCAATCATACCAGACATTTGAATAGTCTTCGGTGATCAGTACAATTAGGACCAACTGCATCTCCTTGCACAAATGCTGGGAACAAATAATTAAGCGGATGCATCTATTTTCATAAAATGTTGGGGAGAAAATTTTAACCAGGTGACTATTATAGTAGAGCAACCAGGATGACCTTCCTAGAGTGCATACATAAACTAAGATTGGGCTAAGGTCACTCAACTAGGCTATAATGCACATGGGCTAAACCACACTACAAGATTAAATCCAACCAATTAACTAGTCTAACCCATGACCTTATAAACCCATATGTTCTCTTACTTTATCAATGTGGACTCTTAACACATACTATTAGCTATCTATTCACATGAGAAATTTTTGGAATATTGTCTTCACTTGAAACTCCAAAAAAAAAAAAATTCCATTTATTTCAATCTTTACTGAAATATCAAATGGTCTCAAAATTTGTACTCTAAACAATCTCTGAAAACCCTCAAAAAATCTGTTTTAAAATTGTGCATGAGGACCAAATAAGAAAATCCTTAGCTTAACTCAATAAAACCAGCATGTAAGAAATATTTAGCAACCCTCTAAGCACTATCTAATGTGATGCTTATCTATAATCCATCCCTTCATAAATTTCTACTCTGACTAGTAGCCAAAGCTGAAGAATCTACATACTTGGAAGAGAAAGTTAAACCTCAACAAAAAAAGTCTTATTAACCTTCAACCAAGAAATAATCTCAATCGCTGATTAGTCCTTCATGAAGGAGCATACTCAATTTTAAACACTGGTCTTTTTAAGACTCAGAAAACCAGACTCACGGTGCTTAAGATTTAACATGTTCTTCATGGATAAATATTAACACTCAAACCACTCTCACAAAATACCATGTCCAAACATGCTAAGAATAATGCACAAGTAGTATCATGCAACCAGTATACTTTACCAAACTTGTCATCAGCAAAACCTAAAATTCAAAGACTATTAATAAAAAGGAAAAAGTGTCAAATAGGCCACTAAACTTATCGCTTATGTGCAATTGGGTCACTGAACCTAAAAAGTGTGTAATTAAAGTAAAATATGTGCAATTGAGACATTTTTTTCAATTTCTTTTTTTCTGGTAGAATCTGATCATATTAATTACATGGTATGGACTAAGAATCGCCATTTCCTCTGTCATACTAATTGAGATGAAAGATTGCAATGTTTCAACTTAAATCGCATTAAAAGAAATCATAAACATGTCCCAATTGCATATATTTTGCTTGTTTGATGGTTCGATTGCACACTTTTTAAGTTTATTGACCCCCAATTGCACAAAAACAATAATTTCAGTGGAATATATATTCATGCATATCTACATCTACATATACATAGGAAAGAGAAGATGAGAGGAAGGCAATAAATACTCTTGTTCTTCTTGTGCCATGACAAGAGGATCATCCTTTCTGATGTCATGTGGGTACCATTGCGCAACCTTGTCTCCAATCAACTTCTTCCGTAGAATTTTGTGAGCAGATCTCTCACCCGTGGGGTTAAGCACATGCCCAAAAATCCTTGCCCTTGCATTGGCCACCCCTTCCATGGCTACAGAGGCCACCAAGTTCCTCAGCCTCCCAGAGCTCATGTCTTCTTCCACTGCAGCTCCACACTTCTATTAGGCAAATCATCAAACAGTTGCAAGGCGGGGTTAATGCACTATCCAGAAAGTTACATATCAACAAAAAAAAAATAAAAAAAAAATCACGCATTCAATTACATAATATATTGTAAGTAACTCATCTCATTGCAAGAGTTCTTTGTTTCCATACCTGAACTTACTTTTTCTTCATCTACAGAAATAACTTTATGCAACAGAGACTGAGAGAAGACATGCTCTGAAAGAGAAGAAACGGAGAGGGTATTTACCTGAAGCAGAGAACTGGGCTTGTGAAATTGAAAACCCAATCCGCAATTAGTGAGGTGAACTTAGCCCAAAATCAATACAATTCATGGACCCAGGTCCAAAACCAATAGTTATGCTGTGGGCTCGTGCCCAGCGTGCAGCATGGGCACGGTAACGGTGCCGTCAGGCAACGTTATCTTCCCTTTTTTTTTTTTTAAAAAAAAAAAAAATTTAATTTCAGACCGCTTCGTTATAGGAGCATATATTCACAGCTTTGTGTTCATAATTTTATAATTGTACATTCATAATTCCATAGCTGTACATTCATAATTCTATAACTGTACATTCATAATTCAATAACTGTAAATTCATAATTTTCGAAGCTCTATGTTCATAATTGTAAGTTCATAATGTCAGAGTTCTATGTTCATAATTTCATAACTGTACATTCATAATTCCATAACTGTACATTCATAATTTCATACTGTATATTCATAATTCCATACCGAACATTCATAATTTTCGAAGCTCTATGTTCATAATTGTAAGTTCATAATTCCATAACTATACATTCATAATTCTATAACTGTACATTCATAATGTCATAACTGTATATTCATAATTTCATAACGAATATGCCGTTAACGGCGTTTCGAACAATTTTTTTTTTTAAATTAAAACAGCGTCGTTTTCACGGAAAACGACGCCGTTTTAGCGCCGTGCGCACCTTGCAAGGTGCGCACGTGCACATAGCATAATTTGCCGTCCAAAACCGGCGTATAATGATACCCTTAGTGGCATTGTTTTCTCACAATCATTATGTTGTGGAACTCTGTTCACCTTACAAGGTGGACACAATTTTATGTTCATAATTATTGAAATATATGTTCACAATTATAAAGTTATATATTCACAATTTTTGAACTTCATATTCATAATTATTGATCTCTATATTCACAATTACAGAACTATATGTTCATAATTACTGAATTATATGTTCATAATTACTGAATTATATGTTCATAATTATAAAGATTCATAATTTTTGAACTTTATATTCACAATTATTGAGTTTCTATATTCATAATTACATAACTATATGTTCATAACTCTATATTCATAAGAGTTAATTCCAGCAATAGTCCTTCGATTATTGTGATTTTTCAAATTTAGTCCTCGTCTTTTAATTTGGACGAAATAAACCCTTGACTATCAAAATTGTTCCACTATTGGTCCTTCCGTTAACTAAGAGTTAAATAGATGTTAAGTTAAAGAGTAAAAATGTCATTTCCAAATTTAGATCTTTCTTATCCTTCCTCTTCAACGAGTCCGTGTATCTGTGATCTGATGCTCCATGCCATCAACTGAATTTTCAAAGCAAAGCACAAGGGACATGCGAAGGAATATAAGGAAAATACGAAGACTTCAAATGAATTTTCAATACTCCCCTTTCATTGTCTCTACCTCTAAATACTTCCCAGTAATGATCAAGGCCTTGCTCTATTTTAATTTTAAATAAAGACTTTATCGAATTCAAAGCTACTTGATCATACCAAAGCAAAAGACTTTACCATTTCAAATGCGCACACACAAATAAATTAGTTTAAGCTTCCATGTACGACTTTCAGTCTAATTGAATACCAGTATTTCATCTCAGAATACACCACATATTTACTCTAAAATAATCCCTCCAACCTGACAAGAACTTCATATATCTAGCCGTATATACACAAAGTGACAAAACATAACAAATTTAAAATTCAAAACACTAATTTGATCGAATGGAATAATAATCGAGCAAGAGGGGCATTGAAATTGATGAAAATCTGGATACCTGGATCAGAGAAAAGTCACAATACGATAACAGACAAGACGAGTATGAGTGGGATGAGATGGACGGCGTTCTCCGCAAATCTTAGCCGATCTCTCTCTTTCGTGGTGAGATAAGATTGGGGGTTGTACGTGGGCAGCTTGCCGGCTAACATTAATTTGAGATTCGGAGAGAAACGTGCAAGCAATAGAGACGACGGCGAGGAGCGTGGGGAGGACTAAGAGAGCCGGCCGGAGCTCGAAGACCAGTACATGATCGCGACGATGGGAATCAAGCCGATAAATGTACTGGGTTTATGACCTCGAGCAGAAGTTATGACCCTTCATTTTTTGTTAGGTTTATAGTTTTTTTGAGGAAAGACCTTTCATCAATTTCAATGCCCCTCAAATTCCTTCGCATGTCCCTTGTGCTTTGCTTTGAAATTTCAGTTGATGGCATGGAGCATCAGATCACAGATACACGGACTTGTTGAAGAGGAAGGAGAAGAAAGATCTAAATTTGGAAATGACCTTTGTACCCTTTAACTTAACATTTATTTAAATCTTAGTTAACGGAAGGACCAATAATGGAACAATTTTAATAGTAAAGGGTTTATTTCGTCCAAATTAAAAGACGAGGACTAAATTTGGAAAATTACAATAGTCGGAGGACTATTGTTGGAATTAACTCATATTCATAATTATAGAACTATATATTCATAATTGAGGAAATTTCAATTTTGATCCTATGATTATAGAGGTCTTGTTAATTATGAGTATATTATAATAATAATAATAACAATAATAATAATAATGATAATACCAAGACTATGTGGTCTAATGGTATCCAGGTTGGACTTTTATTTGGAAGGTTATGAGTTTGAGCCTTAGTGGAGGCGTTATTGGGTTAGTAACATTCAAAAAAAAAAAAATAAAGGTAATTAAGAAAGTTTTATGAAGGTAAAATTGTCCTACGAAGAGAGCAATTTTTTATTTTTTAATGAAAAAATAAAATACTTTGGCTGAGCAAAGAGAACTTTTTGCTCAAATGTAAGTAATTTTATTTCTTTTGGAAAATAATAATAAAGGTAATTAAGAAAGTTTTATGAATGTAAAATTGTCCTACCAAGAGAGTAAAGATTTTTTTTTTTTTTTTTTTATGAAAAACAAAATATTTTGGCTGAGAAAAGAGAACTTTTTGCTCAAATGTAAGTCTTTTGGAAAATAAATTTTAAGAATCAAACAATAGAAAATTACATTTTTCTCAAATTTTTAGAATTTGATTTTCTTGGAAAACATTTTACATCCAACAAAACATGCTCTGAGCCCTTAAGTGAAAAGTCTAAAATAAAAGGAATATTAAATATTACATTTTCATACTAAAATTATTTTCTCATATTTTCACTATGAAATAATTTTACTCATGAGTGTGTCTTAGTGAAGGAATCTGTAATTAGAATGAATATATATATATATATATATATATATATATATATATATATATAATTCAAATTGGATTAGATTGTATATTGTAAACGGGTCTATATTGCTTTCATCCAATTAAACATTTTTTTTTCTTAAAAATTTATGCATGTGTATGTATGAATAGAATTATAATTGTATTTTTTTAAATTATTGGGTCTTCTTTATAAAATTAAAAAAGGTGACCGTCATGGTGAATAATAGTCATTAATATTTGAGTAATGATAAATTTAGAGAACTATTTTCAATGATTGTAAAAAATTAATTTTATTTATATTGAGAAATTGAAATCGAAATAGTTTACGAATATATTGAAATCTCTTTATATTAATTTATATAATTCAATTTAACTATGATTAACTTCTAAATTAAAGGGTAAACAAATATTTTTGAACTTACATTTCTTACTGACCGAAGAGGAAAATATTAACTAGGTCAGTATGTGTTTTTTTTTTTTATTCAATTTGCAATTTAAATATAATTTTATAATTATTATTTACTCCTGTATAAAAATAATAAATTAAATTATATTTAAATTAACTTCGAATTTATAAGTTAACACAGTCAAGAATAAGGAACTCAACTTATAGATCTTAGAAGTTAATTTTCCAAATTGAGTATGCTGTGAATTAGTGCATTTTTAGAAAGCTGAGCAATGGTACAAACTTTAAAAATGAAGTCAACTTAAAAATTCGGCACAAATCAATTAATTAAAACCCATTGCATTCCAAAACAAAACTGATGAAAATTGGTAATTTGTACATAGTTTTTGTACATGATCAGTTGTATGTGGCTGCATCTAGAGTTAACAATCCAAATGGTCTGAAATTATTGATAGTAAAAGACTCAAGTACAATTATTACATTAACCACTAACGTTGTATATCATGAAGTTTTTAATAATTTTTAATTTTGTAAAAGTTTCTTTTTTAATACCATAATATTAATTTCAACTATTTATAATATACTATTTACATCTTTTTTTTTTTCTGTTCAATTTCCAAAAACAATTAATTTATATATTATAAATTATAACCGCATTAGTTCATACAATTTATAACATAACATCCACACAATTAATACACATTTTAATTTACATCCCGTGCATCGCACGGGACAAATACTAGTGAATATATATATATATATATATATATATATATATATATATATATATATATATATATATATATACACACACAAAGGATCATATGAGGTCATGTTTCTACATGTGGTATGTGGTCGAAATATGACCTTTGATTTTGATTGGATCTATGGATCTTGTTTTTTGGTTTATTTTTGGATTTATTTTTTTCCTTTTTCACGCCATCTTAATCTAGGGGCTCATTAGTCTTTGCATTTTTGTTTCCTTTCTTTGTTTTGTTTGTTTTTTTTTTTTTTTTTTTTTTTTTTTTTCCGACTGATTTGCCATAGTTTTAGGGATATTAAATTTGGTAATTAAAGATATCCTTCATTCATCTTTATATACGGCCTCTTTTTCATATTCTTTGTTTGTGTTTTGGCGAAGATTACAGACTCTTTTATTTTTTCGTGCTTCATTCTCTGTGCTATGAATTCTCCAGGTTTGTGTTTTCGTTTGTTTTAATATATTAGTATTGTGCAGTTTTTTTTTTTTTTTTTTTTTTTTTTTTTTTTTGCATTTGTATTTCGCTGGCTTCATTCGTCTTGTAGCGTTGTGTATTGTTTTTAAATCTATTCATTGTCTTCATTTTGTTTGTTTATTAGGATTGTGGGTTTCATATATATAAATTGTG